CCTGCCTTTGGTTACTGTGTGGATTGTGAGGAACACATATGCCAAACTTGCTTTAACACTCACAAACGACCAAAAGCACTTCGCCATCATCAGCTTTTAGACAAAGATGAGATGCCACAAAAACAAAACCTCCAAAAATCATTAAAATCTAATTTTGGTGGTAAGACGAGTGATCTTTCAAAGCCATGTACCAAACACACCAAAGAAGTGATCAAATTCTATTGTAAAGACCATAATGCATTTATTTGTAGTGTATGTGTGACCCTCGATCACACAACAACGTCCTGTCAGGTGGACTATATACCTGATATATCAGGACATATTGTAGACAGCACTGAGTTCAAGGAAACTCTGACTGACATTGACAAACTGACAGACGAATGCTGCCAGTTCACAAACGACCTAAAACAAAAAGTCGCCGGGTCAACAACTTCTCTGAGAGATTCTTTAGCAGAAATAGAAAACTTCAGAAAAGAGATAAATAAAATATTAGATGAATTAGAAAAGAAGGTTAAAGATACCGTTACAACAATCCAACATGACAACCATAAAAAGTTGAAAACAGCAGAAACAGTATGTAATGACATCATCAAATCATTTCAAGAATCAACCAATTCCCTTAAACATCTAAATAGAAACAAGAAAGTTGACCTTCTATTTACTGAACTAAAAAATACTCAGCAACTGCTTCGAAATAATGAAAAAAGAATATCACAACTACCAACAGTTTATTGTGTTTATGAATACATTTTTGAACCAAATCAAGCGATCAAAAAACTCTTTCAGAATGAGAAATCATTAGGAACATTGAGCAATAAGAAATTGAAACAGTTAACTCAACCAAAGAGTCAAGTTGCCGCAGGAATGAAAATGTCTATCCCTAGAAATTTCAATGTAAAATCATTCTTCGATGAAAAGGATTGCTGTATTTCTGGCACAGCTGTTGTTTCTCAAAACCAATTATTTGCAGCAGATTTCAATAATTACGCAATTAAAATGATTGACATCAATAGTGGATCGATCAAACAACTACAGCTTGTAACTGAACCTAGAGATGTCACCAAAGTCAACAAAGATACAATTGCTGTTACATTACCAAACAGTGAAGCGATACAGATGATTTTCTTCTCCTCAAACACTCTCTCACTAAAGAACAAATTGAAAGTAGATGCAAAGTGTTTTGGTATCAGTCATCATCAGGGAAAACTTGCAGTAACATTTATAAGTCCTGCTAAACTACAAATCATGGACTTGAAAGGTAATACTGAAATTACAGTTGATAAAGATTCCAATGGTGACAATATTTTTAGCAAACCTTTTTACATCACAACAAACAGTCATTCAATCTATGTATCTGACTGTGACAAGGAAGCTATCTTATGGTTAAACTGGCACGGAGAGATGTTAGGGAGACATGTTGGAATAATGGAGCCAAGAGGTATAACACTAATAGATGATTGGTCATTCTTAGTAACCGATCGTAGCAGTCATTGTATATATAGAGTAAGTGGTGACTGTAAAGACAGTGAAACTGTACTTAAGGTTGTAAATTATCCTGAAGCTATGTGTTGGTGTGCTGAGACCAGCACGCTTTGTATTAGTAGATACCACAGCGGTGACAAAATAGAGAGAAACAATCAAATCAAGCTGTATAAAATGATGTAGGACAAAGAAATGACAACTGATGCAGTCAGAACAAGACATAAAAGTATTAAAGTATTAAATACCGAACCATCATTCAATACGTCTGTGAAGGATTTTTGACAACAATGTCCTATATGGTTTTGGACATGTGATAGATAGCACAATGGAAAAAGTATTCTTTTAAATATTCTTTTTCATTCAATAAAGAAACTGTAAAATCCACAAAAAATAAGACTGGTTACAGAAGTATTCATATCTTACAAAAGAATTACAAAAACACATAAATGTATGTATTCATCACATTATTTATTTGCATATTTGTATATATTGTATTCATACGCTTCAGCAGTGTTGAAAGAATATTGTTGGCTTGCTTCTTATTGATAAAAAGATTGTAAGATATGTAAAGTAATTTTGAAGTTTTGTATGTAAATATTTCAATGGAAATAGTGTTTTTATTGTACACATATTTCAGCCTATAGACAATTAGCCATTAAAGGACTCAAAAATGTATAATGAAAATTGTTGCAACATAAATGCAGATGACCTGTCTGATGAAGCCTCTCAAAGTAAACTTATAGGTTGCATGTGTGAATAATTATTTATTGGCGTTAAAAATGAACCGTCTATAGGATTTGTCACGAACTTATGGGACAACCCTCGTATATGTTAAAAGACTGTTATAATGATGATTGAACAGCAGTTTATATTGTAAAATGCTCAGAATAAAATATAAATCTAGCTTTAATATAAAAAAAAAACTCCCCCGCTCTTTTTAATAATTTAACATTACAGGGGAATTCCGACGGATATTTACATAATATTTCTAAGGCCACGCAAACTATTTATCGTCCATGCGAAATAAATTGAAAGGAATTATGACAAAATATAAACTTATTTCGACTTTCACCCGTTCACACACTAAAAACCATTGGATTGGCTTGATGCCACTTAAGTCCAATATATACTCGTAATCCAACGTATACTCATGTGACACTGGTCTTGGTTAGTAACAGGAAGTTGATTTGAGTGGGTGTACATTCAATATAAAGTTTCCTCGAATCTAGCTTAAATAAAGTTTTAATTTCATGTCCTTCATCAGGCTCAATCTATAATAAATCCATTATCCAATATCTCTTAGAGGACATGTTATCTATTGCAAAAATTGAAGTGCTTTTGTTCAACATAAAATCTTTTAATTAACGATATTGACAGAGGTTTTGTTCTTGTTATAATTGTTACCTGATTAAATATAGTTAAGATCGAGATGTTTAGCTTGTCGGCATATTGGTTTGGTATGCTTGACAGGTTTAGTTGTATTCATCCGCGGTTATTATAAATTAGTCATTTTCTATTTTCTGTACAATTTTATGAGCACACAATTATGCGTGTTTTTTGTTTCGGTACATTGCATACTAGTATGATATTTTTTTAATATGTATGTTTATGCCGCCGAGGGTTGTTTCCATTTTCTATGAAATTATAGCGAATCTGATTAATGTAGGCCCTTTTTGTAACTTTGGCATATGACATTTTAGTTACTCATGGATTTAGCTCTGTACTGTTAGTTTTTAGTACAATTTGACACCCGGTGTTTTTGGGTGTTTACAAATTGACAAAAGGAGGGAAAAACTGTTCTTGCTGGTAGGGTGTTAACACACCTTTTCACCAGTTCCAGTGTTGACAAATTGGGGCAGTGATGATAGACATATAAACTTTACTGATTACCACAGGAAGTTTATAAATTTGTTTCGTTCCCGTCCGACGTTTCTTATTTCTTAATTAAGTACAGTAAGGATGAACACATATGATTTTAGACTTGATTGGACAGTATATCCATGAGCATACATACGCACATACAGACAGACAAACCTAAAAATTGTAACAAAAATATAACAGACTTAGCCTAGGACATTGAATATGGTTTTATTTATAAATCTCTACACAACTTTGACATATTTTGTACTACTTGACTGAACAACTTTTAACCAGTATTTTATAACGTTAACAGCACTCATTGTTCTACCAGTTCACCATAGATTAAAGTATTTTTGTTTGTCTTTTACCTCATAACAACTTCTTACAATACTTTAAATGTATATTTTCTTACACCGGACTATCCCCAGATTCGGGATTGGTAAAATAACTTTATAAAACAGATCTAGTTTATGTTTAACTGACATACAAGGAAATCGTATTGGCTCGTTTTCAAATTAATACAATGAGTTTCGAAAGACATTAAAACATGCGCTGAAATAAATTTTTTGGTCTAGATATGTAAACGTTTTAACTGTTTCAAGTCATTAGACTTTATAATAAAACATTAAATTCTGTCTATGTCTATCCGTCTTTTTAAAGATCAAAACATTTGACTTTGTACAGTTAACTTCCACAGTATATTAGTATATTCAAAAATTTGTCAATCCTTTTTGGTAGCCCCCCTCTGTTTTAGATGTGGTCACTATATTTTAGGCATATAACAAAACATCTTTAGAACCATATGTAATTGGCAAGTATTTAGATTTTAAAAAAGAACTGTCCAAAATAACAAAATACTGCCCCATTCATTGATATTTGAAGGGTACTTGAAAGTAAAACTTCAAACAGAAAACGAAAATGCAGTTTTCAATTTCATCCACTGCCCGAACTACCTATATAAATAGCATAGATTTTAAATGAGACAAGCCGTTTTACTTTTGGAACTCAAGTGTCACAGGGTGAGAAAATGTGTAGCCTGACCGGGACCCGAACCCGGGACCCTCGGAATACCGTACCGCGGTTCTACTGACTTAGCTATCCGGCCAGTCACATACTATCTCCCCTAATTAGTAAACAGTTCTGAACCGTGACACAAGTAAAAAATGGCGAATGTATGTATGAACAGGACAAGCGCTTCTTATACTTCTAGAATTCTTTCTTCAGTCTGTCTCATTGTGCGATGATGATCTCTCAGAAAGTGTGTCTTATTATTTATCTCCTGTTTCAAACACTGAATTATTGTTTTCAAGTTATGAATGTGTACCACGTTGCGCCCGAGTGACAGGCATATGGCCAACACCCTGACTGACTAAAATTCAGATCTACCTAGTTCTGTTACGTAGATCTGATTCCGACCGTATATGTTTTGCCTCCTTCATCTAACTGTTTTTCTTTAGTTAATACTAATTGTTTGCTAGGTTTAATCATCATTGTGTAAATGATTGTAGTTTCGGTGCAGTATGACGTACCGAAACAAATAAAATAACAGGTAATTTTTATTCAAGATTTTAAGAATCAGTATTGTAAGATTAAACTTGAACACCAAGAGGTATAAAAGCCTCTAAGTCTCTGCCCTTTCTGCCAGTATAATAGTCGAGTCCAAAATGAGCGGTAGTAGACATTCCAGTGGTTAAGACATGTTTTGACTTATTAGATATATTAGATGTATACTGGAATCTAGATTATTTTGTGTATTAACAATATCCAATCGAACAGGATAAATCACTGGTATGTTATTCTATTATATACTTATAAATGAAATATTGAGAAATAGTAATGAAATAATATGCGTTTTCTCATTTCCCGTACTTTCACTGTTAAAATTTATTTTTCACTGCAGTGATACATATTTTCCATATTTTTACTGGTGTAAAGAAATAAAACTGTATAATTATACTAAACAGGAAATTTAAGTATTTTTTATAAATAAAGGATTTATTTTCATCTTGTGGTGTGAAAATTATCATATTTCACTCATGGCAAACCGTCACTCAAGATATATTCATTTTCATAAAACTCAATGAAATAAATCATGTTTTTATAGAATAAACTTAAATGTCCTCTATTTATTCAATATCTGTGTTTAAATATTCTGTAAGCTTTATCAAGACAGTTCTTTTTTTTATTTTAGAAAAATCTAACTTTGACCTACAATCCGAATAACCTTGAGATCATCATTTACTGTACCCCTCTCATATCTCTGTATCAGTTCCAATGATTCAATTTTTAGTTTGTTATCATATCTTGTTATTTTCAGTCACTAGTAATTATTTACTTTCCATTCCCCAGTTTTGTGCCGTCAACCCAAATCCGATTTATTTACCGTCGCACCCCACCTTTTTTCTCTTTTATTCCGATTTAAACCCCCTTCCCGTTGTTTTTCCGATTAAATTTGTATTGCAATAGTTTTTGCAAAGCCCCTTCCTTAATTTCTCCGCACTTTTCGGTTTTGGTTCGCTACATGTCGGTGTGGCTGGGTTTTGTCTGGGTTATGTTCTCATCCCGGGGCACTACAAACATGCTGAAAATTTAAAGCTACAACATTTGATATAATATTTTAAACAAGGATTTGCTACGTAATAATTTAGAATATGGTGTTTAATTAAAAAGGGGTATATAATTGATTATTTTACGAGGAGGTAAATAGGTATAGAATCAGTAGAATATGTAAGTAGCTAACAAATTATTTGTTTGATGTTAATACGTTTGGGGTTAATAGCTATCTTGTATTTGTCTATTCTAGATCCATGTACTTTTATGGCTGTCCCGGGTAAAAAGGCATCTCAGAAATTCTCAACTACACTATCTCAAGGCGGTGCGGAAGATTTCGACATTTTCTGTGAAATATGTGATAGAGATGATATCAGGCTGCCTGCCTTTGGTTACTGTGTAGATTGTGAGGAACACTTATGCCATACCTGCTTTAATAATCATCGGCGACCAAAACCATCACGCCATCACCAACTTCTAGACAAAGAACACATGCCACAAAAGCAAAACCTCTATAAATCATCGAAGTCTGCTCCCAGTGCACTGACCGATGATCTAACAAAGCCTTGTACCAAACACACGAAAAAAGTGATCAAATTTTATTGTCGTGACCATAATGCACTTATATGTAGCGTTTGTGTAACCCTTGAACACACACCAACATCCTGTCATGTGGACTACATACCTGATATATCAGGACAGATTGTAGACAGCTCTGAGCTCAGGAAAACTCTAAAAGACATTAACATATTGACAGACAAATGCAGCCTGATTAGTAAAGATCTGCAGCAAAGAGTTGTTTTATCAACGACTTCTCTACAGGATGCTTTAACAGAAATAGAAAAATTCAGAAAAGAGATTAACCCTAGTTTAGATGAGTTAAAAAAGAATGTTAGAGATACTGCAGCAACAATCCAATCCGACAACAACGAAAAGTTGAAAACAACAGAAACAACATGTGATGTCATCAACAAATCACTTCAAGCATCAGCTGATACTCTAAAATATCTCAATTCAAACAAGAAAACTGACCAACTGTTTGTTGAACTTAAGATAGCTCAGCAACTGATTCAAAATAACGAAAAAACAACATCACAACTACCAACAGTTAATGATTTTGACGTTTACATCTTTGAACCAAATCAAGCTATCAAAAATGTCCTTCAAGACGAGAATTCATTAGGAATATTGAGCAATCAGAAACTCGAGCAGTCAGCCAAACCAAAGAATCAGTTTGCAGTTGCAATAAAAATGTCTTCTCCTCGAAATATCAATGCTTCAACATCATCGGATAAATGGGATTGCTACATTACTGGTTTAACTGTTTCTTCTCCAAACAAAATATTTGCAGCAGATTACTTCAATAAGTCGGTTAAAATGATAGACATTATAAATGGAGTAATCACAAAATTACAGCTTGACTCGTATCCCTGGGATGTCACCATTGTCTCCGGTGATTCACTTGCTGTTACAATACCAGGTAGTGAAACAATACAGTTCATTTCCTTCTCCCAAGACTCACTCTCACTCAAGAACAAACTGACAGTTGATGGGCAGTGTAATGGTATTAGTTATCATCAAGGGAAAATGGCAGTTATATTTAAATGTCCTGCTAAACTCCAAATCATGGACTTGAAAGGTAATACTGAAATTACAGTTGATACGGATTTCAGTGGTGGCAGTATTTTCAGAGTAGCTAGGTTTGTCACTACAAACTATGATTCAATCTATATCTCTGACAATGGCAAGGCTATGATTACGAGGTTTAACTGGCAGGGACAGTTGATGGAAAGAAGGGCAGGAATAAGTTCCGTAAGGGGTATTACAATGTTAAAGGATGGATCCTTATTAGTCATTTCTAACAAAAATATATATATTGCTAGCCATGACTGTAAATACATGAAAACTATATCTGAGGATGTAGATGATCCTTTTGCTTTATGTTGGTGTGCTGAAACCCGTACACTTTGTGTTAGTAGATGCAAATATGACAGTGTAGAGATGAACAATGATATAAAAATGTATAAAATGATGTAAAAACCAAGAGATCGCAATTGATGCAATCATAGCAAGATGTGTAATATAACAAATGATTTGAATACACCATATCTAACAATTGCAAAGGAATATAGCAATACGCATGAAAAGTAAATGAGAGGTCGCATATTTGTTTTCCAACTTCTCTCAGAAGGAAACTGACGGTCTTTCATACCAGACCTTAATTAACAGAGCTGTTCAGCAGAAGAGTTACTTCTAAAACAGGCAACTGCTGTATCATACCCACCTCTAAAAAAACAGAAAAAAACCCTGCAGGGTGCGTCGCAATATCGTACACATCAGCAGTAAATAAAACCGAAGAAAGAAGCTGACATCCAAGACTTATTTATATATATATTATGTTATTAGTTATATGTATCTCAGCAAAGGAATACAATGTATAGTATGCGACTGTCTTCTCTGTTGAAATATTGAATTAGGGAAACTCATAGAAAATAATAACAGAAACATTTGGTGTTGAATATACAGTCACAAAGGGGACATAACCTTGGAGACTTGATTGTCCCAATTTATTAGAAACCTGTTATTTTACAAATGACAAGTTAGGTGTAAAGCCCCTTAATATGGTTTTGATAATTGGTAAATCAGTTACTTTCAGATATAAAAGTACATCAAAAATAAAGATTTAAGCCACAAGCAAAGCCCCTGCACCACTTCAGGTGCTACTCAACATACCTGTAAATTTTGTTGACTGTATCTCAAGCACTTTCAAAAGCTACATGTGACACACGAGAACGTACGGACGGACAGACAAGGGCAAATTTAAATGTCCCCACTATAACATAAAGCTAGTCACCGTTTGGTTGATTAATTAATGGTCACGAGGTGACTTCTATAGTCCAATTTCTTTTCCTTTTAGGTTGCTTTTTAATACAATTTATGGGTGTGTCATTAAAACAGATATAGACTCACACTATGGTTACTTTTTGGTTAACAAGTCATGTTACCACTTTACAGCAAAAAACCTGTTTATTAATTCAGTCCGAATTTTTGCCACTTATGTTATTCAAATTAATGTTTCTGCAAAATGGCTCCTAATGCAACTTATGTTGACACTTACAGCCAACCTGTTCTTACCAAAGACATAAGCACTTGGAGGTAACTACAAATGTAAAATGTCAATTTTAAGTTTAACACAATAACAAGACAAAACTTATCAATTTTATTTATATTTAAAAAAATACATTCATATATAAGAGCTGCCCGAAGCGGGCTCAAGTATAATCGGTGATTTACTTGACAAGTTAACAAACAAATAAGAGGGTTGTGATTGCCCTGGATACCTTAATGTAGAAACGTTATTAGAAAAAGCCATAATTTTTTCATGCAAAAGTCAGTAATAAAGTCACATTGGTTGTCTTTTCTGACCCCAGCTGCAGATTTTTTAAACATAGGCACATGTCCGCTAGATATCATGTGCTAAGTATCATAACTCTGGGCATCGTAATAGCATACAATAAGACTTAAATGTTTTTTTTACTATAAAAGTCTATTCATAATCAATGACCCCAAGGCTATACCTTTTTGGTCTTCAAGGGCATGGTTTATGTTACTTTTATAACAGACCACAAAGCAATGCTACATGCCCGAAATATAAGCTATGGGCATTGAGTTTTGTAAACCTGGGACAGAATGTTATGTCTAAGAAACATCTTAAAGGTACTTTTCTGTAAGTCTATATAAATCTCCTCTGGTAGGATTAATTTTGACCCCTTGGGGCATGTTTTTAATAACTTTTGCAGAGTACATGCCAAAAATCAAAGCTTTGGGAAATGAAACTTTTTAGATACATCTCTATTATACATGTATATACAGTATAAACTATGTAACCCCATGGCGATCCACTTTTGGCTTTATTCAACTTTTGCAGATGTTCACAAGGCAATGCTACATGCCAAATATTAGTTAAAGCTTTGAGCAATTTCATAAAAGAAGACATAAAAATGTTTTTCCGATTTAACACATCCAAATTAATAGACCCCAGTGGCATTAAAGTATAAACATTATTATAGTCACTGTTCAAGTACCTGGGAAATACTATAATGGGACAAGCAACCGGTGATTAGCGTCTGGTTATCTCATCGTACAATCTGGCGCATGTGCCACCATTCGTTAGGGTTTATCCATAGTGAATAATGTAAATTAGAAAAGTAAATGCCAACTAGTGGAAGGTTGTAACAGACCTTTTAGTATCTTTACATGATTTAACAAAAAAATTATCAATGTATTTTTTTATGGTGACGGCATTAATATACGATTTAAACTCTACGCCTATCAAATGATCAGCGTTCAATTCGACACCATCATAAGACATAGGTAATGCTTGTCCCATTATATTGTCTCACAATTATCAATAATATTCACTGTAAAAACTATAAATATCAGAACATTTTTATACTTAAACCCATTTTTGTACATATGAACTGTAAATATTCATTATATCTTTTTAAAATCCCTGTACATATAAAAGAAATAGTTATGGGTGGGAAACAATAACTTAATTTGAAGATGTAAAGTTCTAATGATTTAGAAATAGATACGAGGGTTGTTCGAAAAGAATTGCTTATTGTCCTCTATCTCGTGACACGATAAAAACCAATACATACCTGTATAGGGTAAAAGTGGCTGCTCTTTGAAGCAGTTGCTGACTAAACTCTCTATTGCTTATGTGTCTTCTTGTGTATCTCATGACATAGTTAGGCGATGGAAAAAGAAATTTGGGTCTTGTGTAGAGTGCATAAAAAAAAACACCAAAATCAGGTAGGCCAAAATCTGCATCTCGTAACGAAATCGTTTACAAAATAAAGGATATCATTGAAGGAGATGCCAGATTTACAGTTCGTGATATTGCACGAAAGATAGGCATATCACTATCAACGGTTTACTTTATTTTGAAGAAGCATTTCAACGCAGAAAGATTCCTGCTAGATGGGTGCCACATCTGTTGACCGATGAGCAAAAGAGGTAACGGTTTAAGGTGGTCAAAAAGCTGCTTCAAATGCTTCCGAAATATGACAAAAAACTGTTTGCCAATGTCGTCACAGGTGATGAAACTTGAGTCCATTTTTTTGAGCCCGTCAGAAAAGTTAGCAACAAAATCTGGGCCGCTTAACACAACAAACGCCCAATAATTGCTAAACGGTCTTTGAGTGCAAAGAAGGTTTTGAATGCAATTTTCTTCTTTGGTGAAGGAGTCGCAATAAAAGTGCCGGTGAAAAAGGGCAAAAGTATCACTGGGAAGTACAACAAAGACGTAGTACATAAGAAACTGAAAAAAGTATTACGAGAAACGACAACCTGTTTCTGGTTTTAAGCATATGCTTCTTCTACATGACAATGCCCTTCGGCGTTTTTGAAAAAAAGTAACTGTTTTGCCTCACACACCCCCCGTATTCTCCAGACATTACCCCATGTGATTTCCTTTTGTTTCGGAAATTGAGATCCTTCCTTGCTGGGTGGAAATACAAGTCCCGACAGGCACTTGGATCTGCCATTCATCAGTACCTTAAAACTGTGCACAAATCAGCGTACCGTGACGCCTTCAAGAAGTGAATACATCGGCTGAAACTTTCCATTTCAAGCCACGGGGAGTACTTTGAGGGCAAGGAATAAACACTTTTAAGCTAACTTGAAATTTGAAGTCTCCAAATAGAAATAAGCAATACATTTCGAACATCCCTCGAAAATAGAAGATATTCATTTTTTCTATAAATGCAGGATTTATTTTCATCAAGTGGTATGAAATATAATAATTTTCATATCACAAGATATCACATATAATAATTCCTATATCTCTAGAAATAAACTTGAATTTTCTGTTTATTGTTTACTTTTCATCTTTTTTGACCTTATAATTCTTTAGACTTTTACTTTAATTCTGTGTAATGGCTTAATTAAGAAGAAAGTAGTCAAGCAAGACACAAGTGAAAATACTGAAAATATGTTTAACTGCAGTGAAAAATATTTTTTACAGTAAAAATACAGAATGAAAATATGCATTTTTTTTTTAAAAATATTGATTTTTTTTAATATTTTTTCATTTTTTTAAATTATAAGTAACAAAAAAATAAAAAAACTTATGAAAGTCCCGCCCATAAATTTTTATCTTAAAATTTTTATTCGTCTTTTTCCTCAAATTTTATTTTTTTTAAAAGGGTGTGGGTATACGACTATGTTTCATCTAAATATGAATCATATTTAATTTCTAATTTTGATTTTAATCCTAAAGGATTCTTTTTCGAATCCCCCACATACAAACATGGCGAGTTTTTTTCTTTAAAATGTTTAAATCATCTACTACTTTATCAACATAAGACTCTGCAATGGAGCTTTCTCTCCAAAAAAAATTCTTTTGCCAATGATTGGTCCCTTTAAAAAAACTGAAAAACATTTAAAAATTTAAAAAAAGTTATTAAAAATTGTACTACATTGTATAACTAAATTTTTCAGCTGATGGGAAATAGGGAAAAAAAACTCTAAACGTCCGAACAGCTGATAAAAAAGATTGGTTGGTAAACATCAAAAACAAAAGACCAGAAAATTTTAACATTCCAAAAAGAAACCAAAAACCCTTTAAAAACTAAACCCTTTATGCTGGCTCATCAAAAAGAGCCCGTTTTAGATATAATTAAAGAAGATTTTTTCGTTTATTTTTTTTAAAGGGGTAATTTTTAATATGAAATCCCCTGATTTTAAATCAAAAATATCTATGGAGGGTTAAACAAATTTAAACATTAAAAATTCCCTTTTAAATTAAAAAATATTCATTTTGATTGTTGAACAATTATATGTATGCTATGTGAAGAGCATCACTTCTTGATCTTCTTTTCTCTTGATACTCTGATCAATAAGTCTTGATTACTTGTAACTTTTTTCTTTATTTACTGAACAAATGCTTTCATTAGATAAAACAAACAAATGAATTTAAAGACAATACAAAACAGAGTTTAAATTTAGAACAAGAAAAACATTTTCACATCGCAGAAGCCGGTGGTGTACAGTGTAATAATTCCAGTAACCAGACATTGCATCGAGCCAGGAACCACCATACAGAACACAACAGCGCTAGTCGCCGGCTTGCAGATAAAGAGTTATGTAACGCCAGCAAGGACATTAAAAGACACATAAGATATATTAACAATCGTCATTTGCTGATACTCAAATAAAACATTTCTACACCCAACGAAATAAATGACAAGCTATTAAAATTGGAATATTGTAGTATACACAACTTTTAAGTCATCTCTGAATCCAGTTTTACTTAAATATTTTCTTTATTGCAAAGAGGACCATGGCCCCTCATTTAATTGGAACAGAATAAAGTTTAAAGTTAATTGTTGTCATTAGTTTGTTTTACATGGCCCTTGCCCCTTACAAAGATTTTCAGATACATATTGAATCAAGAACAAAAAAATATCTATATTTTTTCCATCTAGCAACGTATATTCATATCATATCAAAATGAGATATCATTTATCGTGTGCAGGATTTCTTTGTATTCATTTTCTCCCATTATTGCCACGACCAATTTCATGCTAATGTTAGATTTTGATTTTGTATTTTCTACTAAAATTTATTTTTTCCTGAAATAACATGTCAGGAAACTAATTGCGTATATTTACATCATCCTAGCGAGCGGGACAAATCATCAGTGAGTAACTTTATTTAATATTTATGATTTAAAAGAAATTATAATAAGCATTATAAAAAATTTATATATCAATTCATTTTGAAAAAAATGTAACTTTGACCTTAAAGTTTAAAGTCTTTAC